CCCTTTTAAAGTGGAAAATATAGCAAAACAACAAAAATGCCGAGAACTTTGGTAACATTCGCAATACGCGTGACGTCACGTTTTTCAACAAGGATGCAGTCAATGACGTCAGAAGTTTCATATCCATTTATTTTATTATCCATGGTTTCACTAAGCACTATCACAACAAAAATAGGTTGCCACACCCACGGTATTTTTGGAGGGCCAGTTTTGACACCCTGGCTAAAAGTCTGCCCACGATTACTCGACAATAAATCCTGACCAACTACAGCTCGACTGTAACCAACCAGACAGCCTTACTACTTCCAAAGCTCAGCTTAACTATCAAAACTCAGCCGCACCACTTTACCGTTACTACGTCGGAACCGAACCGTTATTAAACCGAATACTTTTAAAAACGGTACTAAATCTAAAATCAAACCACACTTAAACCACAGAGTGAACGCCAGTAAACCTCAGCCAAACCACATCTCAAACCGCAAGTGTAACTGCAACTAATTGCAATATCATCTCCGTACCAGCCATATGGGATGTATAGGCAATCTCCGGGCTGCATTTCAACGTAATGATATTCAACTTTCGCTAGACCTGGATACTTGACAAAATCTACCCTATAAAATACAAAGTATTCATAAATTGTCAACTGTAGAATTTCAAGATGAATGGTCATATAATATAAATAATTATAATATTGAATACAATATCTACCTTTCCACATCTACATCGGAATAAGCTGATTTTACATTTTCTATTGTAACCTGAAATAAACAGGGCAAAGCAATCATTAGGCAATGGGGCTTATCAGTTGCTCAGTCAGTTGGTTGAAAAATTTCTGTCAAATTCTGGCACATGGCTAACTAGCTAGACAAGAACAGAAAAAAAATGAGAGTTGCATGATCTAGTATTGAGTCAGTCTAAATGTGCTTATTTATACATATACTATACATGGTTTAAGTTGTATAATTAAATTTGTGCTAAAACTGTCTGTACCAGTGTGGGTATAGTACCAAATGAATGTGAAATTGTTGTGCTGAGTGGTTATATTACTACCTGAAATAAACCGTCAAGGGTTAGTAGCCAAACTACTAACTCTTGACAAAGGGCCTTCGCTCAAAATGTCAAGTTTCTGCTTGTTTATTTCAGGTAACTAGTAATATAACCACTCAGCACAATAATTAATAAAAAATAAAAAAATAAATTTGTCCTTTTTCGCCCTCCTAATCCTTATTTTCTGATCCTGCACTGCAATTTAGTTCATTCATTTCTCACTCCTTTGATTTGATTCTTTCTCTTCTTTCTTTCTTTCTTTTTCATTCATTTATTCTTTCTTTCTGTTCCTATTCTTTCTCTCTCCATCCAAAAACTGGCTGTGGATTAAAATTAAATTTTCTGGGAACAAATGGTCTGGGATCAGTTGATAATGCAGTCAGTCACACAGCCAATCTGGTAGTCATTTGGTTGGTCAGCCAAGACTCTCACCTTGTCAGAATATTTATTTGGATCAATAAGATACAATTTCTTTGCCCCAGCAAATAAACAGTTTATGTTTTCTGCTGAGTCATAATGTAACACTGATTTTGTCCCACCATTGCTAAACCACATCAACTAAAATGCCAAGAACATAATACAGTTTGATCATATACGTCAATATATATATATATACATCCTTATATCCATACACATAGGCAGTGGGAGGGGGGGGGAGGGGGGGCTGGGGCTCATTCCCCTAGTTTTTTTCTCTGTATGGCTATGCTGAAATCTCTTCACTGCTTTGCAGTAGGCATCACTACATGCTACCTCGGCAACTATGACCAGTGGTGTATAGCCAGCCCGACAATTTAGTCCCGCTATGCAAATTCAAAATTATTACATTTCTTTAGGAATTGATTGTATTCACAGTCAATGAACACGAAAATATTTGCATAGCGAGACTAAATTGTCGGGCTGGCTACGCTATTGACTATGACTGGCTCTAGTTCATGCATTGGGCCTTGTGCAAAATAAAAAAAAAATTAAAAAAATTAAAAGGATCAAACTAACCTTGGCCAAAAGATAGTCGACAACATCTTGACAAAGCAATGATGGTGGCAGAAATACATCCTTACTTTAATTATAAAAATAAATGTTCAGTGAGTGATGTCTCATAAATTGAGTGCAGGACAATATGTTCAGATATGATGATTTCTAATGTGACTGCTGGGGGAATTCCCTTCTGGGTGGTACTAATCAGGTGGTCTGATAAGGAACAACTGAGACTTCTGCCACTTTTGGAAAACAAGGTCAATAGTTCTTTGAATGTTTGCATGGCGATAAAATATAATTGTTTTTGTTTGTGGAAACACCACGTAAATTAAGGTCAATAGTATACTAATTCTTAACAGTTGCATTCATGCTCAGTTGAATTAAGGTTTGGGAAATAAATATTGATCAGCATCCCAAGCAAAGCTCTTGGGGTTACAGTGCAGGACTCACCTCAAATTTGGGGTTGGGCAGGTCATTTCTGTCTGCTTCTCAATTGAAACTGAACAAGAATCAAGTGCCAGCTTGCTGTCTTTGTTAATTATAGTCTGGTAACCACCCATGCACATAATATATGCAAATGTTTCATAATTTGCATTATGTCTTATTTTATCTTTGCATATCATTATGAGTGTTAAGAATAGTATTGGATGTAGCTTCCCCTCCCTCAGGCATTGTAAATGCATGTGGCCCCAGCATACTGACTCCCCTCAGATACAGACTCCCCTCCATACATACATAGGCTACATGCATACATACATACAGACTCGCCTCTGTACAAAACCAGGGGCATATTATTAATTAGCCCATAGGTGATACTGGTTATGGTGGAGGGGAGTTATACACACTTGCAATACTTTTCCCATACCTGAGAAATTCTGGCAGATCATTGACTAAATATATATCTTCGTTTCTGTATCTTTGTACAAATTCTGTGAATGGAACCTCCTCAGGAGACAATGTCCTGTTTTCTTTCTTAGCCTGTTCCACAACGACAATCTCTTTCTTGCCTTCCTCAAAATTGCCTAAGTACTCATCTGTCCACAACGAATAAGCAGGAGAAATCTTGGCACCTCCGCGTACAACTAACGGCTTACTACCGTGTACAAAATTTGTAAAGAATACGCCAGGATCTGGGAAATAATCCATTGATTCAACATTCAATATTTCCCCATGGGAGCCAATGGGTTTTAGATGCCCCGGGTGTGTTGTCAAATCTTCTGAATTTCCGTACACAAAGTAACAGAGAAACATACAACAACACCAAATATATTTAAAAGCCATTTTCTCACGAAATGAACTCTGAATTCAGCAAGATCGAATCCTTGTAAATGTATGCAAGCACCTGTATCAGCCAAAATTGCTCTAATAATTATTGTTTGGTAAGCTGTTTGTATTTTATATATTTATATCCTCTTCAGCGACACGTATGATTTAACAACACCGCACAAAAAACTTCATTTATTATGTATTTTGATTTGACAATAGGCATGAAACACGCCACGTTCGTGATATAATCTTATGTTTACTATGGCAACAAGAGAAATCATGATAATTTTCTGACATTTGATAACTTCACGTGTAATTGCGACATTCTGAGAACATTACATTGCTACATTACCTCAGTAATTGTGACATTCTGAACGAAATCTCGATATATACTGACAGTGTGGAAAATTCGAAAAGGATGAAATCTTTACCACTCAACTCAATTCTTTTTCATGAATATTTAGTTTAGTTTATGCTATTAAAATTTCTAAATATCGATTGAACTATCAGTTGATATATCATGCTCAGCTGTGTTTACTAAGATAAAAGCCCATTTGTAGACTATTTTTTTTATAAACTCTCAATAAATAACTGAAGCATACCTAATTTTAGTGTGCAGTGATAACCAATTTGTGCAGTGATAAAAGTAAAATGTGCAGTGATAAAATGTAAAATGTGCAGTGATAAAATTTGCCTTGATAAGTTGTTAATTAACACAAGAGACTGATTTAATTGAAATTGAAATGATGACTGCCAAATTATCGAATGTCCGCACTAATAACATACTTATGGTTCATCAGATGAACAAAGTCTCTCACCAAAGATCTCTTTATGAGTTTGGAAGATGGAGTGAATGATAGTTAAGATTTTGTAATTACTGTGTAATTTTCAGAATTCTATAGAATGTCTCCGCGCATTGCAGGAGATGCCCTTTTATAGTGCTTAGATTACAAAATTGTCGGTGGACTGTGGGTGCATGCCCTTGGAACTCCTCTAGAGGTTTTTCACGCCTAAGCCCGTAAGCCGCCTTTCATTTGCCAAGACGAAAATATTTATTTTCTTCAGTCATGTTATTATGAAACTAAGCTGTCATAGATATAGTCGTAACTGCAGGTGCTGGCTGTTAAGGCCGCCCAGAGGAGTGCAATTTGCGCTGGGACTCAAGTTAAAGTGGGACCCAAAAAATAATTGCAGTAAAATATACATAGATATTAACTGTCAATTAGACTTCCAGAATGCTGGATTCGGCCATTTGTGGGACCTCCGATTTCAAACTTTTTGCGGGGGATGCCCCTGGACCCCCTAATCATAGTGTTAGAACATGGAATCACGAGAGCCCCCAAGTTAAAGTTTGTCCTGGGCCCCAATTTTCCCTGAGTGCTGTGCAGTGTATGTTCGTTTTGACATTTTTGAATATGAATTGTAGCCTGCTTTGTTGTTACACATTATTATAAGGGTGTGTTCAGAAATTTTCATGGCGTGCTTCTGCTCCGTTAAACTTTGCACAAAAATGTGCAGTGATAAAAAATTCTTAAAATTAGGTATGAACTGAAGCATATGGAGTCAGAACAAAGCAAAATGGTAAACAGGAAATGAGAAATGGCACGTCTGCTAAGCCACGTCAGCGCCCAGTTGATGAGTATACTGACTATACTACGTCTTCAAAACTAAAATCTCCACTAAATTTTCTTCCAAGAATTCAACACAGACAACCATAACCAAGTATTTTACAAAAATGTCTTATTTAATATATATACAATACAAGCATTTACAAATACTGTGATTTGAAGTAAAATTGTCCCAGTAAAAAAAATTGTGTCTTTTATGCCTCAGCAAATTACATCCTTCCTTCTTTAGATAATACACAATGGTAGGTCTTTTGAGCTGGGCATTGTGGTTACACACAGATAACCAGGGATAATTGATGTACTATTGGTAGGTTACGGTGGCCGATATTGGCCACCTCCGTGCTGCATGGAAATTCGACTGTGTTGCGTGGAGAGATTTCTCAGAGAAACGTTTATGCTGACATGCAGAAGGTCAGCTTCTGACAAACAACTTCCATGGCAAATCTTTGTGTTTATATCGGGGCCCGTCATTTGTACAGACATCGTCAATTTCCACGCAACAGTCGCGTTTCCACGCAGCACAGTCGCATTGCCATGCAGCCGAAGTGGCCCCAGTGTCCAGTGAACTGTAATAACACTGGAACGCTAACTGCAGGTAAACATGCCCATAATGCCCATACCACTGAGCTATACCCAGTGTTCACTGGCTATACCACTGAGCTATACTTGCCTGAAGCCTTCCTGAAGTCAAGATGGCGCTTCTCGCGAGCACATGCGCGAGCAATAAATTAACTTTCAAAAAGACTGGGGAGAGTTTCGAGGAGCGGGAAATTCAGTCAAAAGTTTGTTTTTGAGAAAAGAAAGAAAAAGCACTTTTTATCAACAGGCTTCTTCTTTTTTATCAACAGGCTTAAAGATTCAAATTGGGTTTCCTGGATAGTTCTAAGTATTTTATATCCACTAACAGCAAATAATCCATGGGTAACAGCTTAACGTGCTGAAAAAAACTTCGCATTTTGACTCCTGAAAAAAGAACTTTATAACTGCTCTACGTTCTGGAAACATGTTTTGTATTAAATTTCAGGTATTGTTGAAAGTTTTTAGCTTTTTTCCTTGTTTGCAATACAGCTATTTAGTGGTCGAAAACAGACATCTTTTTGGTGGCGTATTTTCCACTCCATACCTACATGGCGGCCATCATGAGTGGCTTCAAAGATGGCGGCCAAGTTATCGTTCCAGTTCTCTTAGAGTTCACTGGGTGGCCCTTATCGGCCACCGTAGTAAGTACATGTACATTTAATGCTTTATATCCAATCCATTGATACCTACAGTAGAGCCATCCATCATCGCTATCTATCCAACAAAAATACCGCCAATGTCGTACCACAGTACTCACAGAGTGCGAGAGAGAAAGGACCCTAGGTACGAAATTGACATAATAGCTACTTCTCACTCCAGCGATATTATGAAGTCACATCGGAAGTAGATCAGGTATTACGCAATAGATCTGACGTCACTCAGTCCCAGTACTTTATCAATCCATCCCAGCCGCACGTGACAACTTTGGACGTTTCGTGCGGGTGCCATGCGCAACCGATGCACACTGCGTCATGAGCTTTGAATTTACTGCATAGAAACAAACACAATTAGTTGATTTTGTGTGCCTAAATGGCTTCACGAAGCACTATTGTGCAGCAGATGGTGGTCAACCAGCAATCAGCCTTTTCTCAAAAGAGATCACAATGTATTCTGGGATCGTTTGGAGTGACAGAATATATGGAGACAAGCGTCAAATATGCGAAAGTGTAGAAGTATCTATGATCAAATATCAACTTTTTAGACGACCAAAAATTAAATCAGTTCTCCTTTTTACATTAAACCAGCTGCCATATTTCTTGTCCCTCCAACATAGGGTTTGCGCGACTAGACTCAGAACTTTGGGAAATGGCTAACTGACATTAAGACTTTTCATTATTTATAATAGTCTTGTATAAATGCCAATATTTCTCAAGCTGACCATCATCTGTTACTGAAAACCATCAGAATAAAGGATGAATCTATACCTATATAGCTTTGTTGATTTCCAATCCCAAATAAACAGTTTTCCATCCGCATCGCCAGATATAATATACCTACAAGTCCAGTTAATATGCAGTCAGTTCAAACACAAGTTCATTAATGTGATTTCAGATAGCTTATCATTCGGTTTTCTTCGTGCCCGCTAATACCGCCCGCAACGCAGGCAAAAATCACATAAGTGGAGAGCTAGTAGTAATAGAGTGGTCTGTGCCTTGACCCTAGCTTGCTCGCAGCCTGAAATTCAGAAGGGGGAAATAAAACTAATTTTTCCCCCTTCAAAATCTCAGACTGCGAGCAGGCTACCTTGACCCTTATGCCAAGGGTTCCTGTAATATACAGTTGACCTTGGTCACATATGAGAAGACTGCTTCCATCACATTATTCTAGCAAACACCGCACGTTTCTTCCTATAAATTTTTAGAACCACTGAGTATTTTAATAAAATACAAAACAAGTGAAACTTCAAAAATCGATAACACTTTTATTTATCTACGTTTCGACTATATTTCAGTCATCATCAGGATAAACTAGCTAGGTTATATATCAAAAGCGGTATTTATATGAAGAAATATGATACAATAGTTAGGTTGATTATTAACGAATTAATGAAATATGATTAGTTCTTTAGAAGCTT